TATTATTCTGAGTAAAATAAGTCGACCACAAAAGGACAAATATTGAATGAGACCCCTATTGTTTCTCTATGTATATATTTGTATATGCTGTAAATATATCCATATATATAGTAGAGCAAACTTATGAAAATTACTTAGCCATAACCAAACTCTTCCAGGGAATGAGTCACTGGGCTTAGGGGCTTCGGTCCACAGTTTTGGGGGACAGCTAAGTCAATTGGCTTGAACATATCACAAAGACAACGCTCTACATCCTACTGTGGTGAGTAGTGACTGGAGTCTTAAAAGCTAGCAGCCATCTAAGATGCAACTATTTATCTCTACCTGTCCAGAAGAAAGAAGAGTGAAGACAGTCAAAGACTCAAGGAAGCAATAATTGGTCCAGAGGACTGTGATGGACCACAGCCTCCACTGCCCCAAGACCAGAAGAACTAGGTAGTGCCCAGGTACCACTGCTGACTACTCTTTCCAGGACCTTTTGAGGTCCTGGACAGATTAGAGAAAAAAGGAAAGAATAAAATTCAAAATCATAAAAAAGACGAGATTTATTGGTCTGATAGAAACTGACAGAAATCCCAAGACTTGGCCCTTGGACACCCTTCAAACCAGGAACCAAATCCATACCCAGAAATCACCTACCTGCCCAACAACAGACAGTGTTATAAAGTGAATAGTAACACTCTCGAGGAACATACAACTCAGAATAATCAGCCATCTGAGACCAAAAGTGTAGTACTTGCCCCAAAACAAAGCTCAGAACTCGAGAAGGAGCAGGAAAGGATGAATGGGACCAGGGAACCCAGGGAGGAAGCAAAAAGAATGTGGGTATATTGAGGGAACTGCAACCAATGCCACAAAAAAATGTGCATAAATTGTTGAATAGAAAGTTAATTTGCTGTGTAAATTTTCACCCAAACCACAATGAAATGATAATAATAAGTTAAATAAATCATTATGTTGTTTCTCATCAAGTCTTTTTGGAAAATAAAGAATTTTATTAAATAATAAAATATTTATTTTAATACAGTAATATGTGTATATAGTTTGTTGTTGTTGTTAAGTGCCGTCGAGTCGTTTCTGATTCATAGCGACCCCATGCACAGCAGAACGAAACAGTGCCCCATCCCGCACCAGCCCCACAATTCCTGCTATACTCGAGCCCATCATTGCAGCCACCATATCAATTTGAGTGGTGCCACATCAGCAAATGAAGGTCTTGAAAGCTTTCTCTTTTCCATATGAGTAAGGCTGGGTTTACTCAGATGTTGCAGCTCTTTCCCAGTCCTATTTTGAGAGCCTTTTAGCCTAAACGGACTATTACTAAAGGTGCACAGTAATGTACCAAACAGTGTTTCTTTGCTATTCATAAGGTTTTCCCTGGCCAATTCTTTGAGAAGTGGACGGCCTCTTCCTTCTTCCTAGTCTGTCTCAGTCTATAAGCTGGGCTGTTACCTGTGCATCAGGTGCATCTCGCTGGGTTTTGAACACCAAAGGCTTGGCCTCAAAACTCACGTCTACGTGTCACCACAGTAGGACAAACCGACAGACAAGTTTGTCTTGCTGTTGGAGACCTCTCATATTACCCCCACCTGGGTCCCTGTGGCTGACTGTTCTTCTGTCTGGCTTCCTGGCTTTTAATCCCCTTTCTCCTGCTCTTCTGGCCTGCTTCTTTGGGCGTCCCTGAGTTGTCTCTCCTCACCTGTATCCCTGGGGTTGACTGTTCTTCTGTCCAGGTTCAAGGCTTTTATCCTCTTTCTCCTGCTCTTCCGGCCTGCTACTCTGGGCGTCCCTGAGTTGTCTCTCCTCACCTAATCCCTTCGGCTGATTGCTCTTCTTTTTGGCTTCCTGGCTTTTATCCCGTCTCTCCTCACCTAATCCCTTCGGCTGATTGCTCTTTTTTCTGGCTTCCTGGCTTTTATCCCCTTTCTCCTGCTCTTCTGGCCTGCTACTCTGGGCGTCCCTGAGTTGTCTCTCCTCACCTGTAACCCTGGGGCTGACTATATAGTTTATAGTTTATAGTTAAATAATACTGAAAAGCTTATAATAATGAATTATAATCAGTGTTTCACTGCCCCACGTCTCTCCACTGCCATTGTCTCCTTCCTTAGCAACAGTGATGTTTGAGTGTTTGTTCTGGCATTTGCTCATCTCCCTATTTCTAAAGACTGCATTTGCTATTATCTTTTCTTTTCTTTGAGAATGAGCTAATATCTGTTCTTTATTAGTAACCTCAACTATTTTTGAGGTCTTTTTACTCCAGGGCAGGGGCTTTTGTAAACATGTGGGCTGAATTGCAGATAGAGTAGCTCCTGTATCAGTTAAAAAACTGTCAGGGTTCTCCATTAATGCACATAGTTATTTCTCCCTGAGGGTTTAGAGTCTCAATAATTTCTTTTGGAAGGATCAGCACAAGGCTGATCTCTGTGAGGCGGAGGTTAAAGATGTCCAAAATGTTCAACTTTTCCAGATTGCAGTACCACTCTATCATCTCTTATATCAACTCCTCTTCTTCTCCCCAGTACTCTCCCTCTTGTCTTAGAGTTCTGTATTTTGCTGTAACATCTCACAGAACTCCCAAACTGCCAAGAAAGTGGCTCATACAGTGGTAGAGGCTGGCAAGTTCCAAATCCATGGGTAGATGTCAGTCTGGAGTATTCTCACTTGATCACAGGTGCTGCGAACCCAAATCGGCAGGTCAGACGACTGATTGCTGTCTCAAGTCCTAAGAACCAGGGATGAGATGATGTCAGACAAAATGTAGGATCCAGAGCAATAGAATGAACTTTGCCAAAAGATTCACATATATACCCTCAAGGAAACTAAGGGTGGTGCCTTGAGTCACACTTTCCAGTAAGGTGGAACTCAAGACTGGCGTAGAGTCTAGGATTTACAACACATCACAGAATGGAGGACAATGGCTCCAATGGCCATATTAAGCAATTCACTGCATTGCAGGCTACCCCTGGGTCGTGCATATTTGAAGGATTGATTTACCCCTCCCAATTATTTTACAAGTCCCAAAGTCATTAACAATTAGTTCTTCAGTAGGGCAAAGAGACCTAATACTGTTCTCTTTTAAATACTCAATTTTAAACATTGCCTGTGAACTACTTCTGGCCAATGTCATCCCTTTTGTTTCCCCTCCCCCATTCTCCCCATGTAGTTATTTTGCAGTTCTTGGTTAAATCTATATTCATTGTTTACAGTGTTATACCTCAGCAAATATTATGCACAGCTGAGGATCATTGTATATTGTCACATATTATGATTGTTACCTTTCTTAGTGTTTACTCTTCCTGAAATTAAAATTTTAAAATTATGTTTTGTTTTCATGTGAAATTTTAAAATTGCTAATTCAGGATCCATGGTGGTGCAGTGGTTAAAATGATTGGCAGCTAACTGAAAGGTCGGTGGTTTGAACCCACCAGCCACTCCATGGGAGACAAATGTAGCAGTCAGCTTCCATAAAGATTTATTGCTTTGGAAACCGTATGGTGCACTCTGTCCTATACGGTCGCTGTGAGTCATAATTGACTCGCCAGCAATGGGTTTGGATTGCAAATTCATCCATACAAGTTTTGTAACATCATTCACATACAATAATCTCTCAGTTAATTTATTTTTGCTGTTTCTATATATCCTCAGTTGTGTAGGTTAAGCGCCTTTCCAAAGAACCTCTCTTTTATCCTCTACAGAGACAAGAATCTCCAGTCATCGTTGTGTGAGAGTAGGGTCCTTTTTCAGCACTGCAGAGAGGGAGGGGATTCCCAACTGCATCTCAAACAGCCTTCACCCAATTCTCTTTATTTTAGCACTCCCCCACTCCATCAGTACTGCTGGTTCCTGGGCCCTTGGCAAAGTGTGGTATGAATCAGGTGATTTTCAGCTTTCCCCAGTGCTGCCTTATGGTTTTGCTGTTTAAGGTCTCTTTACTCAATTATTACTAATCCATTTACTTTACAGGTTCCAAACTTATGTGCCATTGTCTCTTCTTTTCTCCTTATTCATGTGGGTTTATGTTAAAAACAAAACATTTTCACTTAGTGTTGCCATGAGTCAGAATCAACTTGCTGGCAACTTGGAGGACCTGGCAGGAGTAAGTTTAGGAAGAGAGTGTGTAGGGTTTACAGTTAACTTTACCTAAATAATTTGATCTTTGTCCCTGGTTCTTGAGAGATAACTTCTGAAACTTTGAAATTTCTCCAGTGATTACAGTGTCTTTTATGCAAAAGGCGTCAAGATCACCCATGAAGGTTTATGCTGGTGAAGTGACTCTTGGATAGTAGTTGGATAGGCCTGAAAGAGCCACCCAGTGACATCAGCCTAACCTTAGAAGGACTGAACCCTGGGTTCTACCAATCGTGCCTGTGCAATGGTGCCCAAACATAGAAAAGTACATTGGCTGGACATTGGCTTCCTGGTTGGTGAAAGACATTGGTGCTCGGGAAGGTAGCACGTCCTTTGGGACCTGGAAGCTCCATGATGGGATCCCTCCCAGACCTCACTCTTCATTTGTATCCTTTTTGCTATAATAAAACTGTAATTGTGCCTGTAGGACTTTCCTGAGTTTTGTGAATCACTCTTAAGAAATGATCAAACCTAAAGGAGTACTGAACCAGCAGGTCACAAGTAAGGGAGGCCTGGGGACCCCCTGAGCTTATGACTGGCATCCTGAGGAAATAGTGGAAAACCCCCAGATTTGTAGCCAGCAGGTCAACACAGTATTGTAAGGACCCCCATGCTTGGGGCTGGTGTCTGAAGTGTTGGGCAGACATGGCAGTCTGGAAGACTTGTGAGGTCTGGCCTAGCTCCAGGTGGTGTCAGGGTCAGAGAAAGAAATGCTGCACATGCTTTTAGGAACGGAACTTAATAGATTTGAATTGGATTGAGTTGCTTTATTTTCAGAGTACAGTTAGAAAATATATTTTTTGGAAAATAATTAAAATGTAGGTTAAAAAAATAAAAAGCACTTATAATAATAAGCCCGACTGGAGAGAACTATGGTGGTCATTTTGGAGAGCATCCTTTCAGTCTTTGTGTGTATTGGAGAGACACAGGTAGAAATTGGAGCACGCTCTATGTACTGTTGCAAGGCATTGCTTATGAGCTTGGAACAGTGCCAGGAGTTGTGGATGCTATTTTCACACAGACTGTTACATATTTGTTTTCATATAAGTATGATTTTTTTTTTTTTTTCTGTAGTATTCTACTGACCTTTTCAGTCTATTCTTGCCCCAGTACCCCACTACAATAACAGTTTGGACAGAAGAGCTGCATGATAAGCTCTTCTTTTTCTAGTATGTGGTGGAGGTGGTGGTGGTGGTGGTTTTCTTCCTCAAAGTTTGGTTTTGTTGCAGTGTTAGCCTTCTTTTGTGCCCTGGTGCTGATTTTTAAATTATCTGTGCTTCATTCTGCTTTATTTTAACCATCCTGCAGATGGCAGGATTGTTTTACTTGAACAGAAATTTTAAAGCTTCGGTTTTGTTTAATGAGCCCTTGAGTAGGAGAGCGAGATAATTTAAGGAGCTGTATTTCTCCCTACTAGAGAAGAAGTAAATTAACATTAGGGACGGATTGTCACTAAGAAAGTGCTGGGTAATTTACTTCTTCCTTCGGTCTGTCTTCATCTCATGATTTTTGTGTGCTTGGGTTCTGGTTATATTAAGGGGACTAGAGAGCATGAAACTCAAGCTGCACTGAATGTAAACTGCTGAAATGCCTTAATTCCTTTCATCAGAATGATGCAGCTTAGGCCTCCTTCATATTAACCACCATGGCGTAATTTATTCCATTTGTATTGTAAGAGTTTCCTTGTACTAATTATTTTTTTATTTTATTCTGAGCCATGTCAGAATTCATATATAGATCATCAATTTAAAGCAGTATAGTTGATTTTGCTGAAGTAGCATTGTTTTGTTCCTACTAGGATCAAAGAAATACTTTAGGGAACAAGAAAATAGATCATTGTTATCATATTTGAAATTGAAGAGAGAATTATGCTTTAGAAAGCTTGGAAGAACAAATTTGAAAATGTGTAACAATTGCTTAGAGAAGCTGCTAAAAATTCAGTGATTGACAGATTGCTTGTATGCCCGATGTGGCAGGTAGAGGAGCAGCAATATACTAAGCAAAGAGTTTTAATTTATTAAGTTATTCTATTGAGAGATAAGAACATTAACACAGTGCTAATGACTTGTGATGATGTATGCGTGGAGTTGCCCTGAGTCGGAATCTGCTGACAGCTGGTGGTGGAATGACTTGTGAAACTGTATTTTTAAAATTGTACATTTAAGTACAATATACCTGAAATACACATCTTAGCCTTACTAAATTTTAAAAAATGTTTTTCGCTACTGTAGAACAGTAGACTTTACAACAGTTAGATACAACTTGTTAGCTTTATGAAAAGGAACAAAACACTAAATGATAATTGTTGTCATCATGTGCTGGCAAGTCAATTCTGACTCATAGCTACCCTGTTGTTGTTGTTGTATGCCGTCGAGTCGGACCCCACTCATACGACCCCTCTTTGGGTTGCTGAGGCAGTATCACTACGGAAGTAGATTGCCTCATCTTCCTTCCGAGGAGTGGCTGGTGGGTTTGAACCGCCAGCCTTTTGGTTAGCAGTCAAGTGCCTTAGCCACTATGCTACCAGAGCTCCGTTAATATTAGTAGGGAATATAAATGGTGCGTATAGTAAATCTTTCTCATTTTGACAGGAAAGGTAGAATGAACTGCTAAATGGAATGAAGTGGGAGGCTATATTTAATTTCTAGTGAAATTAACTAATATTAGGTGTAGGTTAAAATCCCAGGGAGTTTAGAAAGGCCCACCTTATCTCAGCAGGGTTGGCAGCAGTCATAAGGATAGATATTAATAACTTACATGTAGCCTGTCACTCAAAGCTGATATTATGATTGTATAATTACTTTCCCATTGGAAAATACACCAGTAAAGACAAATATAATGTGCTAATCACAAAGATACTTTAGAATGAAATGTGTACTGTTATTAATAAGTTAATGCTTATGTTTTAAAAGGATTTTCTAGCATGAGTAAGGATAGATTGATTAATCAGAAAATATATTACCTATTCTACTCTCTCTAATAAGCCTGTATAATCAATCAAGAGATAGTACTGAATAATGGAGTTGTCCAAAATGCCTTTCTTTGTTTTTTGTTGTCCTCATGGCAGAGTAAGGTTGATGATCTATGACAGACTTTTTATATTTTATGATCATTGTTCAGAGAAGCAATTTCAGTTTCTGTGAAGGGTGGCTGTATGAGGAATAATTACGTTCTTTTTACTTTAAAAATTTTTGAGATTTCTGGTATGGTAATTTGAAAATAATACTTAATAAATTCAAAAGTTTCTTAATATAGTCCTTTATGTCAGGAATAATGGAAATGGGAAAGTCTCTTAGGTGAGAGATTATAATAGGAGATAGAATCATAAAATAAATATGAATATATTATGGCAACTACAACCAAGGTATAAAAATATCAAAGAATTTGTTTTCAGAGAATTGACTTAGTATTTGTCATAAATTGGAATCTGGATGTAGAATCACTGAAGTCCATTTATTTTGCTGCTTTGAAATGAAACACTGCTTGATATATAAATTTTATTTATATGTGATTATGAACTCTATCTCATAATTGCTGGGCTTAAACTTTTTAATAAAAGCAACACATTAGAACTTTTTTTTCAAGCTATACTTTTCAAGGAG